TTCAAAATGTTTGAATTGAGCCTAACTTGATCCTTCCAGATTGTGTTCTCAGTCATTCTTGTTAAACGTTTGTGGTTACCCAGTTGGGAAGATTGAAGAGGAGGAATGGCTAGTTACACTTCAGCTGTAAAACAGTTTTTAGAATCTGGAGACACGTTATATTGGCAAATGTTTTAAGTTTTAGCAACTTAAGTTATCCAGTTTTATACATGTAATGAAAACGTCCAGAGAACAAATGAAGAAAAGGGGTCAGATTTGAAAGCTTACATTTACTTCTTGTCAATATGTAATAAAGTTCCAAGAGCAGACTACAACATATTGATCGACTGCTAATATTTTCTGTATATTAGTTGCACTAATAGAAGTAAACCTGCTGGGGAAAGCATGCGGAACATATCTTCTGGAATTCTTTCCAATCCCTTAAAAAGAGATTTATGTAATGGGGAAGGAAGAAGGAGTGGGCTTAGAATGGATCAATCAGTAACATTTTGAACCATTGTCCAACTGTTTCTCCTATGAGGATCCACTGGAGATTTTTTTTTTCTTCGTATTCTCTGGCCAGATATAATGCATCTTTATTTTATTTATTTATTTGCTTATGCCATACCAAATTTGGTCCTATTCTATTTAGCTGCTGGAGACATATTCTTTTGACAGATAATTCTAACTCTTTTTACGTAACAACTTTCAAAAGTTCTGGATTGGAAAGAGAAAGGACATGCATTTCTTACTTATCATATAGTTACGTTGTGATAGTTTATTATACAGTGGTGAGATGACTTCAAATTGTGTTTTCTATTTTTGTAAGAAAAAAAATCATATCCACTATCAATCTTTTGGAAGATAAGATTAGATAACGAATGTTAGCCTTTAATTTTATTTTTATCAAAATTTCCCAAATTTTCATTTTTTACCACCACTTGTTCATAGCTAGGTCAAGTAGTTAACAACCACAACAACAAGAAAAGCCAAAAATTAAATGTTTGTAACAAGCTTCATTTTCTAAGAATAAATTAGCATTAAAATAACAGTAAATCACTGTTGAAATGCAGAAAATTCTGCTTTTCTTGACTAGTTCTCACTCAATTTGATGAATTTGCCTTAGGAATCCTTTGAAAGAAGGGAATGTTGGATAAATTCTCATGACTCGGATTTGCCATTCGTTCAAATGGTCAAAGGGTATCTGAAGGACTTAAATTTTATTTTACAACCATCTCTCCCACAGTTTGTAGCCTCTTCTTGGCATCCAATACTTGACTGAAATCCCGAGAGAAGGTGCCATGAGGGAATTCTTCCCACTGAGCTTTTTAAGTAGCAATACTACTGTTACCGCTAATAGGGAATTTTGCCCTTGAGAAATTTTTGGAGAATTTCTTTTCCCCCTGGAGAAATTCAGATAAATTATCCATCCAGATTCTGTGATCACAAATTTTTGGTGAAGAATGTTGACAGGACTGTTTGTGCTGTCTTGTGGAATGCCATTGGAGAGGACACAAAGTTCCAAAGCCTAAGTAGTTCTTGGAAAGATCCGGTGCTTGTCTCAACGTTTTGCTGTGGTTGCTGAATCACTTTAGTGCATTCGCTGGTAAAGATGATTTAAATAAAGTGCCCAGGTTACATGCGACAATAGGGGCTTTCAAATATTTTTGCCCCAAACTGGTAAATATTTTGTTACCATATTGAAAATAATTGGAGCGGTTCCTCATGAATAATGAGTAGAGGTTATTTGTGTTCCTTTCAAATGGCATGAGGAATGACTCATGAATGCCCATTCCTATCCATCCCTTTTTATGCTTAATACATTTGTCAGATTGACCTTTACATGATTTAGAATAGAGTAGAGTAGAGTAGAGTAGAGTAGAGTAGAGTAGAGTAGAGTAGAAGTAGAGTAGAGAGAACAGAACAGAACAGAACAGAACAGAACAGAACAGAACAGAACAGAACAGAACAGAATAGAATTCTTTATTGGCCAAATGTAATTGGACACACAAGGAATTTGTCTTGGTGCATACGCTCTCGGTGTACATAAAAGATACATTTATCAAGAATCATAAGATTCTTTTATGATTCATTTAGAGTGAATAGTCACACCAAGCAGCTTACTGTCCAGTGTAGGAAAACATAGACTGTTTGTCTTCTGTTGGCTTTTATTTTATTTATTTGTTTATTTGTAAAATTTATATTCTCGCGGATGAAGGTAAATTTATAAATTTAAAATTTATATTCTATTTTTCATAAAGGATTTCAAGCCTTTATGGAAGGCACTAATATCTCTCGAGCAGCTTCTGACTATCACCTCTTGGTTGTTTGTTCACAAGGCAAAAAATTGTTCTAGACCAGGAGTGTCAAACTGGCGGCCCGCAGGCCAGATGCATCACATGCCACCCCCACCCCAGCTCCACAAAAGCAAAAAAAGTCACAATATGTCACATGATGCGAATTTGATACCTATGTTCTAGACTCTTTAAGCATTACTTTGAAGGATTGTGTTGGTCTTGATCATAATTGCCAAGAAAGCTTGCTTAAATTGCTTGTTTGTTTTGTGTCAACTAAAAATTTTGTACCCTACAAAGCAGGTCATTATGTATGCCTGTTCTTCATCTCTTCCTGGTTTAAGGTCAGGTGACATCTCATTTGCTGGCTTCCAAAGTTTACTTTACATGCTAGCATATGTAGACTTGGGAAAATATTGCAACGCTTTAGGGAAGGACCTCCTGGTCCTATACCTGGTGATATTTGTGAACATGCAGTCATGAACACTAAGATGATCAAGTGCCCACAGCATTGCTATTTTATCCAGGGAAGTTTAGGTTTAAACTTTAACTCAGTTGCCTCTAGAAAGAAAATGACCGATCCTGGAGAACTAAGAAAATGATTTTCTCTTTCAAAGAATCTACCCAGTTGCCTCTCATGTATCCCATAATTATCCATCCCACATTTCCCAGCTCTAGCCCAATTACCTTTGACTGCAGCTGAAATCAGGAGCAATACATTTTGAAAAAATGTAATATATGTCCAACAGCTCAAAAATTATAGTCCTCTCAGGCATGTCAGCACTACATAATAAATGGATTTATTCCTAAAGGTTCAGCCAAGATCATGAACAAGATGCAAGAAGCTTTGAGGGGAGAAGGAGAGGGCAGCGAAAACCTCTTCTAATTATAAAGAAGTTTTCTCTAGACTTTCTGTTACAAGTGGAAGGAAACAACAGTGAAAATTAAATTTTAAAAATATACATTGCTACGATTGTGCAGGTCAGAGGTGTTTTCCATAGTAAAACATGGTAAGCATGGAGATAACCAATAGATAGCAGGCACTACATATTTAGCTTTGCCAGCACTGTGAATTGATCAAATAAATGGCTGTAGGGCACACTCATATGCATAACACATTTTGGAGCTGAAACAAGCATTTCTAATTCCTTGAAATTAGATTAAACTTCATGCACTGCAACTTCAGTTGTATGAGACACAGTTTTCTTGATGCAATTTGACCTCGAAATGTACCTGAAAATTTTCTTACTTGAATTTTGCACAAGTCAAAAAGTCTTGGAAAGCTTTTGCTTCTAACCTAAATAGCTCTTTATTTATATGAATGGAAAAAAGGTGAGAGACTTATTTGTACAGACCCTTGTCAGGCACAGAAACTTTATTGATTTTTGTTTCCTGTGGATCAATAGCATTTCATAAGAAAAAGGTTATCTTACCCCTTCCTCCACGTCTCTGACTAATCCATTAGCCATTATAATGTGAGAACTCATAGATGTGGTGCAATTGAGATGAAGTGTCTCAAGTTACATATAAGGTCATGGACAACCTTTAAGACACTCTGGTCTCCAAAAGTATAATTCTGGTGGTCAAAGTATGACATGAATTTGCATAGATTTTTTTTCTTTCTCAAGTTTGTCAGTTATTTCTCCCTTGTTGTTTAGTGTCTTGCTGTTATGTTCTTAACTATTTTGTTAAATAGGAGACAAACACCGGGGGGTGGGGGGAGAGCCAAATATTTTTAATCTTTTCAAGTGACCACATGGGGGGAGATAATTTAATAATTTCAACCAAAAATGTCCTTTTTGTGACTTCCCAAATTATGAGGTACCTGGCATTGTATCTAATTAACAATGTTTATTTAGCTGCATGATCATAGCTTTCTTAGTGGATTATATTTCAACCATATGTATTCAGGCCATGTATTCAAAACTTAATTTTTTTAGTTAACACTTTATCTCTTCAGGGATGTTAGAGATTGCTTTCCTACAAGGTGTTATAAATGAAATAAACATATCATTCACTCACATTTTAGGAAGGGGGTTTCATGAGATTTTATTGTTAATAATCTTTTGTTTCTTTTCACTGCTGTTTCACTATTTCGTCTTGATGCAGAGGGTTTGAAAAGTAGCAGTTTCAGTGAATATAAATTCCCTTAATGCTACTTATCTGTTTAAGAAGCAGGATTTGGATATACAAATGACTTCATCACAGCTTAGACTACATTTATTATATTACATTTGCTATAGAAACTATTTTATTTATTCCTAATATTGATTTTCAATTAATTCTAAAATTCTTTACATTTTTCCCTAAATTAAACAATAGCAATGTACAATTCTGAAACTTAGAAATTATTAAAACGTTGCCAGAGTTTTTAAAGTGAACTGTATTGTTATAACACTACTTTAAAAACAAAGAGATTTCTGTAGCTTTTTAAGAAGAGTTTGATTTTTGAAGCTTTCTTAGAGAATTCTTTCTTACTTGTTACACGATAACTCAGTCAGCCCAGTTGTGCTTAATAATCCCCCATTTTTAAAAAGCCCAATGATCAACTTTAAAGAGGAGAAAGGAAAAGACAGAAGACTCTCAGCATTTTCATAAAGTCAGCTCAGCTTCTATCTTACTTTGGATTTGGCAAGCTGAATGTTCTCACATTCATTTAATAACTTCTTTGATATATCTGACGATTTTCAAGAAGTAGTCTAAACTAAATCTTATTTTGCCTTTCAGCTCCAGTTCGGACATCATAAGAGATTTAGAAATTGCTGGGATGTGTTCAAACTCATCAGATAAGTAAGTGTGAAATGAGATCATTGTTTTCCATGTCATAAAATTATTGTTGATTTATTTTGGTCACTCAGCTGGCAGGAAACTTGGCCAATGTGATTGGAAAACTTGCTAACTATTTTGGCTTGGAGTCAGAAAACTTCATATAAAAAAAAATTTGGTTGCAGGTGAGCTTCCTTCTCCTGAAGGTCAAGTTCCTTCCATTTCCCATTAGAATCCAGAAAAGCTTCTCCTGATGGTGAGAATGCCATCTTTAGTCTGGGATGCTATATGGCAGGGGTGTCAAACTCAAGGCCCGCGGGCTAGATTTGGCCCACAGGGTGTACTTAGATCTGGCCTGCGGGGCCACCCTGGAAACAATGAAGGACCGGCCCACGGTGCCTCTGCCAGAGAAGCTCGGGAAGGCTGCGTGCAGCCCTCCTGAGCTCTGTTTTCACTGGCAGAGGGTTGGAGGAGGCCTTCACAGCCGGAAACAGCTCGGGAGCCCGTTTTCACTGGCTGAGCACTCGGGCCACCACAGGCACCCCCGACATGAGTGATGTCGAGCTGGCCACACCCACCCTGGCCACACTTACCCTGACCCCCCAAGGTCAAACACAACCGTGATGTGGCCCTCAATGAAAGCAAGTTTGACACTCCTGCTATATGGTGCAGGAAGTTCAAAAACAACAAGAAGAAAAAAATCTGGGATGAATATGTTCTCTTCTGTTAGCAATCCCTGTCTTTTCCTCTGCCTTCTGTATTGTATTTCATTCCATTTAAGAGGGGGTACTCTGACCTTTCCAATAGAGCTTTTGGCAGGAACAGAGTTTGCCAAAGAAGGAAGAGACAGCCAACCCAGTTTTTGCTTATTCATTTCTGCCAGGGCAGAATAAAAGCTGATATGAGTATCCTTTTATTTCCAGGACTTCGTGTTTTAACTGTTGCTTCTGTCTCTTCCCAGATTTTAAACAGGCTGTCTAGTCAATGAAGACTTAACACTGAAAATGCTAAAACTGTCTTGTCTTTCCATTATCATGTTGCCATTCTTATCCCCTTGGGGCTCATCCTCACATTGACAGTAATGTGCTTTCCTCCCATCCTTGAACCAGAAAGAAACGGTTGATATTAAAATTGCCTCTGCAGCCTACCTTGCCTGCATATTAGTTGTCAATGTTTCTGCCTGCACATTGTATGCAGAAGAGTTTAAAAGCAGAGATTGGCACAATCTTTCTATCCTTTCCCTTCCCACTCAGTGTTATCTACCCATAGGAAATTGCTCTCTTGATATGTTTGCTTTTCTGATAGAGGTTGGCTTTTTAATTTTTGACAACTCGAAGCATAAAATGCTGAGCTGCCTATGCTATTGGCCATTGACAGGTTAGGTCAGTACAATTGGCAGCAGAACCATTCTGAGGAAAATGGAGACTGAACGACTGCTAAGAAAGTAGAAATGGAGAAATTGGCCTGAGTATGTAGAAGAGGTGATAAGCCATCACAGACCCTGGGACTGTTAGATCTCCCATCCAGATTTCCATAAAGCCAGGAAAAATACCAGTAATCATCTCTATTTCTAGAAAGGAACTGGCAATCTAGTCAATTTCAACCCAGGTGTTTTTGTGATAGGTTAGTCAATTTCAATTAACCAAACTCTTTGGATTTGGAGGGAAAAAAAGGATAGCCCCTCAGTGGATTGGCGGGGGTGGTGGTGGTTGCTCTTTAGAATCTGTTTTCTTTATGTAATGTTAAGTTGCCTCCGTTAGTTTGGCAGAAACCAATACTCCAATCACACAAATTCAGTCAACAGGAGAGGAAACAATAATCAGGAATTACAGTCTCTTTCCCTCCTCAAGGGGACATGAAGGATTAGCGGTTAAAACACTTGAGAGCTGGAAAACTGACAGTTCAGGTTTGAGACCAAAGTGCCGTGCGATGTGGTGAACTCCCGTTACTTACCCCAGTTCCTGTCCACCTAACAGTTTGAAAGCATGCAAACGCGAATAGATAAATAGGTACCACTTAGGTGGGAAGGTAAAGTGCCATGCACGTCAGCCAATAGTCATGCTGGCCACATGATCATGGAAATGTCTTCAGACTACACTGGCTTCCTAGACTAAGAAACAGAGATGAGTACCACCCCCTAGAATTGGACACCACTGGAAAGGAGAAACCTTTACCTTTATCTCCCCCCGCCCCCCTTCTCTGTGTACTACCCTTTTTCATGCAAACTCCCATGACAAATTCATGTTATTTCATTCAGTTTTTATTTGGAAATATATTTATTTTGCTGAAGGAAATGTGGAAAGGTTCATCGTTCCCAGTTGTTAGGTTTTATACTCGAGCTCAGCACTAAATCTCAGACTGTCCAAATGCAGAATTTAAGAATAAAAAGACTCTCAGTCATGATTCAGTTAATCAGAGCTGTTTATAATAGATAAGAATGAAGCTATATGCATACAGATTATTTGCACTCTGGGAAAAAAAGAGTTTTATATAGGTGCCAGAGTTTAACTTCTAGGCTTTTCTTCTGGTCTTTCCAAGTAAATAGACAGTTCATTTAGTGGCCTTGGGCAATTCAGACATGTTTACCTAAATATCTTTTCTAGTCTGGGAACCACACATTTCCACTTGACTAAATTGAGCACTTATATCCAATCCAGTCTGAGTGTAGGGGGGGGGGGGAACTTTACACATAAGGTTGAAATCGAAATATTTTGTTTCTTCAATAGCTTTGCAGTGTCTGATTTGGTTAGGCACAAGAGAATATATTCCCAGCCTGTATAACATTTCTTTATTTTGGTAGCCCAGAGAGTTTTTTTTTTACTTTGTGTGACAAAGATGTTGACTCTTAGGAGCGTTCTAAATAACTCCCTCCTGTTTTTAAAATGGGTCTATTGACATTTCTCCTGAAATAATGATTAGCAAGAAGAAAAACAAAATCATCTTGACAGGCAGTTTATACAAAGTGAGAGAGATCTCCAGACTTTACTCCTGGAAGTAAATTAAAACAAAACAAAATTAGCATGCATAAATTGAGAAAATGCATTCATAAATTGTTATTGCAGAGACTACTCAAAGTTTGTAGGGAGTCCTGTTAACAGTGCTTGAATTGGCTCTATCCTTTGACATATTGAGGTTACAGGTAGTTCTTACTAAAGGACCACATGCTCAGCAACTGTTCAGCAAGTGGCATTTATGACCTGTTCTCATAGTTGTGACCATCACAATGATCACTGCTTGCAGCCATGTCTTCACCATCTTGGTGCTTGGTGATCAGCTTGCAATTTTGATGTCATAGCATCACACAGTTCTGTGATGGCCTTTTGCAACCTTCCCTGCTGGCTTCCAACAAACAAAGTCAATAGGGAAGCTGGCAAGAGGTCATGAATAACGAGCACATAACACAGCACTTAACAATGGTGTTTATTCACTTAACATCAACAGTGGAAATGCTAGAAATGCTTTTTGCTAAGCGGTGTGATCATGTGACATCATGTTTTATGACTGTCACCTAATGACAGAAATTCTGGTCCCAATGGCCATCATTAATCAAGAACTAGCTATAATAGTAAATTTGAAACTTGTCTGTATAAATGTTTTTCTTTCTTGCATAGCATGCCACCATTGGTTTTTGAAAGAGGGAAAGATTGAATATAACTTAAAGATGCAGTACAGGAAGTCCTTGACTTATGACCACAATTGAGCCCAAAATTTCCATTGCTAAGCAAGACAGTTGTTAAGTGAGTTTGGCCCCATTTTACAACTTTCCTTGCCACAGTTGTCAAATGAATCTGCAGTTATTAAATTAGTAACGTGGTTGTTAAGTGAATCTGGCTTCTCCATTGGCTTTGCTTGTCAGAAGGTTGCAAAAAGTGATCACATGACCCTGGGACACTACAAGCGTCATAAATATGAGACAGTTGTCAAGCATTCTAATTTTGATCAGTGACCATGGGGATGCCGTAACAGTTGTACGAAAAACAGTCATAAGGCACTTTTTTCAATGCCATTGTAACTTTCAACAGCCATTAAATGAATGGTTGTAAATCGAGGACTACTTGTACAGAATAACTCAAACTTTAATCTTCTTGTTGGGATTTTGTCACTGGTGGAGGATAGAACAGTAGAGCCAGAGATACTGTTGAATTATATTCTGAATGCAACTGTGTATTTTATAAAAATAGTGTTTGTAGTTATACCGTGTTTTCCCTAAAATAAGACTCTGCCTTATATTTTTTTGAACCCTGAAATAAGCGCTTGGCCTTATTGCCATGCACTCAAAAGCCCGATTGGGCTTATTATCAGGGGATGTCTTATTTTTGGGGAAACAGGGTAGTTGTAGAAAGGTTTAGTTTTATTCCGCAAATAGTAACTAATCTATTTTCTCCCAGAAATCTGGTTATTACACATAATATATATATATATATATATATATATATATATATATATATTAATAGGTTGATTATGATTTTTGTAAGGATAGTAATTTGGCCATAGTATTCATGTTTAAGAAGTATGATCTATCTTTGCTCCAGATGACTTTGACATTTTATTAAATTGAATTATTTAGTTTAAATTTACTACAAAAATTGTTTATGCCTTTTAAATCCTTTCAATTTATGAACCTGGTTCATATATTGCATTAAACATGATTTATTTCATTATGATACAAGGTGTTGTATAAATCTAACTGCGATTTTTTCAGTAAAGTATGGATAAAAGAAAGTTCATCTTAGTGTTCTGTGTGATGTGTAGATATAGTCACCTTATATGGTCTAAAACAGACTTTCCACCAAATGTTTACAAATCTGTAACTCACCTGTATTAAATGTTACAGTTTTGTAATAGATTTGTTGATGGAAGATTTACTAATTTGGGCAGATGAAATCGTTCGAGTAACTCAGGGTTCTCAAACTCTGGTGCTCTGACCCTTTTAATATAATTTCTTCGAACACACTTTCCCCATGAATAAACATATCAGTCTATAGTCAGACACAGCTCCTGCTATGCCTCCCATGAGGCAGTAT